ATGCGTTTTGCAACGCAGCCGCCCGAGTCCCTGACCTCTTGTATACTATCAGGGACGCTGCAACTGAACGCATGAGGGCGGCGCAAGGTGGGAATGGCGCCCACCCCGACGCGCTCACGTGCAATCCCGGCAAGCTGCAGCGGCAGGCTGTGCGACGACGCAAGTAAGGGCACGCACGAGCGGCGGCAAGTGCCATCCGCAATCAAAAAGTGACCATGTGCAGCCACGCGTTTGTTGCGCGGGCTCGTGCATTCTTCAGGCCGCCGTCAGGTCGCTCGGAGCACCACACAGAACCCAAAATTGTGCGTCGATCTCGCACATATCGACGTAAGCATCAGCATGCACCCAGCTGCCTGCTGGTGTGCTGGTCCAAGCGGCAAGGACGACCGACCGCCTGAGTGCCAGCACCGCCGGCCCGCACTGCAGCACAAGATGAGCATCACGCCGCAGCCCTGGCCGCGCGCCTGGGCTCGTCGCCGCCCCCGAGCGCCTGGCACAGCGTGCTCGCGAGGGCTGCACCTGCGAGCTGGGCTGACAGGTAGAGCGCCACCGTGCCGGCCCCCAGGTGCTGGAAGACCAGCGCGGGCCCCAGCGCGCGCGCCGGGTTCAGGAGGGAGCCGGTCAGGGCGCCGCAGGCGAGGGCGGAGGCCATGACCACCAGGCCGACGCCGATGGGCGATGCGACGCTGGCGCCGGGCTGGGGCGGGTGGGACGGGTGGGGGCGCGGTTGTTGCTCAATGTGAGCCGGAGGGGTGCGTGGGGTTGCAGGCAGGGGACAGCATGCAAAGCAGGTCAGGTGCGCATGTGGCGCGGCATCAGCTCTGCTGCTTGCAGAGGGCAGCCCTGCCGCCCTGCTACCCTGGGGCCGCACAAGGCGAGCTCCCACATTGTGAGGGGCGAGCATCAGTCTCTCCCCTCCCACCCCCACGACGAGCGGCGACAGACGGTTTCCTGAAGGGTGCGGCTGCGCACCTTGCCGGGCGAGGTGTTGTTGACAGTGATGCAGCTGTGACGAAATCGAGGGGGAGGGAAGGGCAGAGGGCAGCGGGGTGATGGGCGGGGGCGACAGGGAGCTGGAGCAGTGGGCGCGAGCAACAAGGCGGTGGCATACGGCAGGGCAGGGCATGGGACACACACTCTCAATTGATTGGCAGCGAGAACGCATGCCAAAAATGTTATGTGAAAAGGCAAAGCAGAAGCTAACAATGTGCTTTGCAACCAGCCACGCCCTCACAGGAAGGCTGTCATGATGCACTCCCAGCCGAAAATGGCGGTCGCGGCGACACCCGCAGCCGGCGCCCAGGCGCCAGGCCCGGCGGCGCCCATGCCAACTGTGACGCCCGGGAGGAGGACTGTGCAGAGCAGCGCCCCCAGCACACAGCCCGCGATCTGGGCGCATCGTTTGAGCACGCATGTGGTGTGTGTGTTTGAGTGTGTATGTTTTTGTATGTGTGTGTGTGTGTGCAGGGGGGTGATTGTGTGTGCGTGCGCGCATGCACACGCCTGTGGATGCTTTGATGCACAGGCATGAAGCACTGGTTCGATCCAAGAGACTGGTAGCTGAGTTTCTGGGAACCCAATTGTGTGCGCTGCCAAGCAAACCCAAACAAACCGTGACGGTGTGTGGCAGTGTTTCTGCTGGAACCCTGCTCAGACCCGTGAACAACAATGCTGCGAGGTGATGCCCCTCATTAGCATGCGAACCTGGGCCACTGCGTAGGACAGAAACTTCTTGAAGTTGAAAGTCCCATTGAGCAGGAACATAAATGAAACCGCCGGGTTGAAGTGCGCACCACTGATCGCCGCAAACGCATATACTGCAGTAGGTGACAGGGCGGCGGCGAGGTGCGGCAAAAGGGCGGACGCGGAGTTGCCGTGGGTAGCGCGACAGTTGGGCGAGTGCATGTGCGTGGAACCGACGCGCCCCTCGAGGGAGGAGCCGCCGACATGGAACTGCATGCGCCTGTGCGCGCGCGCGCCGCGCGCACAACTCTCACTCAGGGGTATAAGGCCGAGGCTGTTGGCTGCGATGGCGGCCCCGGCGCCGCCGGCCGCGGCGGCGGATCCGATGAGCTGGAAGATTGTGCTGCCGGTGAACTCGCCAAGCATGGCGCGCGTCAGCACAGCATCATCGTCGCTGGGGTGGGGCGGTGGGCGGCGCAGGTGTAGGGGCGCGGCGGGGGGAGGGTCGGTGACAAGGTGGCGATAGCAGGGAATACAAGCATCTTTGTTGGCATGCACGCCCTGCATGTCGCACTGCGAACGTGGTTGCGGCAAGCCCAACAATGGGATGTGCGCGTCGGCGCGCCCAAGTGACGCGCGCTCATCTGACCTGGCGTGGACCACGACCTGCGGTGCCCGTTTCAAGGCACGCAGCGTGGGGCCTACATTCAGCTTTCCGCAGCCAATGCGGCCTGCACGAAGCACTGCCACGGGCCGCTGGCTGATGGCAAACGCCATCGCTGTTTCTGCGCTAACAGCTGCTGCAATCGAGGCTTTATGGCAGGAGGTAAAAGTCTACCATAATGGCTGCCGACCAGACACGGGTGCCTGGACACCGCCACCCTCAAAACTGCCAGCTGCCAGCTGCACGCAATGTTGTTCGTGCAAGGCATAGGCAGTTTGCTTTCGGGCTCCCCCGCCAACACTTGAAATACCCCCGTGATGTTTTTACTATGTGGGGTGGTGTGTGTGGGGCTGCGTGAGTGTCCACGTGCCTGTAGCCACCGTTCAAGGTTCATCGGTGCCAGGCAGCATACGGTAGTCGGTGGACAACTCCCCCCCATCGTCACCGCATTTTGGCTTCCTACTTTTTCCTGTATCGCACCCTTGCTGAATGTCATTATCTTATGAGGCGTACCTGTAATAATTGCACATGGCTGGCTTATCCCTAAGAACGGAGCTCTACACCTGATTGGGAGGGCGTTCGCGCAACCTGAAGTAGTGCAATCGGGCCAGCCTGGTGTTTGTTGGCCTTCAAGGCCCCCCTCAAAAGGGCGCAGCCGACATAACTTGATTGTCCCAAGCCCACTCCAGTGCTTGCTTGCTCTGAGACACGGCTGCTGCCGGCGCGCACGTATGAGCAATTACAGCGTGGGGAGTGAACAAAAAAACAGTGCTTTGATGACGCAAGAATAGCTGGAATTGGACATTATGGTACCATCAAGCAATGCAGAAGTTTCCAACAGTGAGCGAATAATGAAAAGCACACAGTTAGTAGTTGGAGTGGTGCATACCGTTATGTTACAAGCCGTCTTGCGACCTGAACTGCTGCAAGACGAGCTCATACGCGAGCCACTGCGCCGCGTTTGCCGGAAACGCGCGCACCAGCGTCGGCGTGAGCCCCGACCAGAGCGCCCGCGCCCCGCCCTCGGCCCACAGCATGCGCAGGTGCGCGGCGACGCCCACATCCCAGGGGCCGCCTGGGCGCGCCACCTGGATGCGGCTCTTGGCCACGTCCAGCGGCAGGATGGTGCCCCACATCTGAGGGCTCGGCATGGCGTGTGGGTGTGTGCAAGGGGGCGGGATGTTGGTGCGTGCATAAGACCGCAGTTTATCCACACGTTCCCCGCAACAGCCGCAACCCCAGCAGGCAGTTGGAGCGGCGTTCTGAACAGCAAGCGCGCACAGCACTTAAGAGGTGACGTGCCAGACCGCAGGCTGGCAGGCAGGGAGCGCGGTTCAGCACGAGCAATGCTGCAAGACTTCAATCTCACCGCAACGCCTGCCAGGCCCCCGCACACGATGGCGGATCCTGCGCCCCTGGCGGCCGCCCACAGCTGCTCCACGGCGCGGTTGCTACTTCTGCTGCTACTGCTGCAACTGCTGCTGCTGTTATTGCTGATGCTACTGCTGTTGCTGCTGCTGCTGTTGTCCCCGCCCGCTTCTCTACTTCTGCCGCCGCTGCCACTGCCCAGCCACTCTGTCCGCCGCAGCCACTCGTACGTGGTGAAAAACAGGGCGTTGCCAGGAACCTGCGCAAAGACAAACACGGCGGCAAATGAGACCTCACTTGCACAACAGCTTCTGGGCGGCTGCTGCCAAAGCAAACAACGCGTCTGTTTTGGCGCCAGTGCTGGCGACACCCTTGTGCAACGCCTGGGTCCCCATGTGGGCTCGTGTTTCAACTTCAGAAGCAAAACAGGTAACACTGCCTTCGCCCGTCAGCCGCCCTCAGCTTCCGCAGTGGTGCTCCCGCACCTCCCGAATGAACGTCGCGCCGAGCCCCCGCGTCAGGCCCATGAGGCCCTCCTCTGCAATAACGTGCCGCAGGATCTCGGAGGGCCCCGCCTTGTGGCTGGTCGTCTGCAGGCGGCACTTGAGCAGCTCCGTGGGTCCCAGGATCAGCGACAGCGCGAAGCCCGCGCCAGCGCCAGCAAAGGGCACGATGTGCAGCGGGGCCGGCTGGCCGGGCGGCGCAGAGGGGTCCCTGAATGCCGCCAGCAGCCGCGAGTAGACCTGCCAGGCGCGATTAAGCAGCGCCGCGCCGCGACGACACGTGTGGGTGAGCCAAGCAGCGGCCGGCATTGAGGGGTGACGAGGGGTGTCGCCACGAGCTGGCGCAGCATGTACAGAAGCCTGACACCTCGCGGGGTCGCAGCGTTCTGACCAACGCCAATGCCGTCTGAGATTTTCGTCAACAGTGCCCAGCAGTGCACCCGATCAGCCATGCGAAATCACCACACGTCACCTCACCACACGCCATTTCACCACACCCGTCCAAAGAGCCAGCAGCAGCAGCAGCAGCAGCAGCAGCAGCAGCAGCAGCAGCAGCAGCAGCAGCAGCAGCAGCAGCAGCAGCAGCAGCAGCAGCAGCAGCAGCAGCAGCAGCAGCAGCAGCAGCAGCAGCAGCAGCAGCAGCAGCAGCGGCAGCGGCAGCGGCGGCGGAGGCGGCCTGGCCCAAGCCACTGCTAGCTCACCAGGTAGTTTACACCCGTCTCTGCCGCGCCGCCTATCAGTGGGGGCGTCAGGCCTTGGTACAGCCCGCGGACCTGTCGCAGTGATTTGGTAGCACGGACAGTCGCAAAAAGAAAGCAAGCACGAAAAGGCTGTGGATGGCATTGCCTGCAGCGCAACACGGTGTATCGAGCGGCATGGTTGCTGTCGAGGACGAGTCGGCCGCGTAATGCAAGGGCCGCTGCCCCACGCAGCCGAGTGCAAGCGGGTGACCCTGGGGCTGCCGCTCACCCCCTCCGTCTGCACGATGTGCTTGAAGCAGTGGACCATCCCGCTGTAGCGGCCCGTCTGCAGCCGCACCTTGACCGTGTCGAACGCATACCTTGGGGAAAGGTGTGGGGGTTTGCGGTCGTTGCATCCTGCAGAAGTGAATATGGCCGTGTGTGTGCGCATGCGACTGCCACTCAAGCACTCAAGCACCCGTATTGGCGGGTGTACTGCCATGCAGCTGCGTCTTTCACAAAGGACTGGCAGTCCCCGCCAACCCACGCTACCCAGCAGGCGCGCGCCGGCGGCAGGTTTGGTGGGTGGCAGGGAGGTGCACTGCCCACCCGCTGGCGACATTGGCTGCACCGGCGATGACTCCTGCAACCAGGGGGGCCAGCTGCGACTGCTCTCCGGGTGCCTGGGCGCCATGGGTCATGGATTCTAGCACCCTGGCCGCGTGGCGCCTGCGCAGGTGCCGTTGCAGCCGCGCAGGCGGCCTCCAGTGGGCAAGGTCTAGGTGTGCTGCAACCTCCTGCTCCAGCACAGGGCGGCCGAGCCGGCGGTGGACAGGCTGCTGTTCAGGTATGGCGTGGCCTTGAAGCGTGATGATGATGTGAATCAACGTGCAACTGAGTTTGTGAACGTGTGATATTCAGCAGAAGAAGGTGAAGAAAGGAAAACAATTGTGGAGCAGGATCGCGAACTAACACGTCTCATTGTATGTTTGACTTTACTGTATATCGACGCCAATAACATATCGTGCAGTAACCAGGCTTGACACGCGTTTCAGTGATCTGAAGGCATCCTGGATCTTGTATCGATGGCGGTAACTAGCTTTCCTAAGCTCAGCTGAGGCTACTTGATACGACATCATTGTAGAAACGCGTGCAGTAGCAGCGCCCCGCGATACAAACAGCCAGCACGCGGGGTCCTGGCGCTTGCATCACGTTGCGGCGTAGTGGGCCACTGATGAGCTCGCTGCGGGCTTTGCTGCTGTACCGACGCATCCTCAGGACTGCGCTAACGTGGCCTGGCCCGCCAGAGGTGAGCTTCGGACGCGCTAGCATATTGCGGTCGTGACACGGTGTGGGGGCGAAGTCGTTTACAAAAGCCGTGTCAAATTCAGCTCACCCTATGATTGCGCACTGAGCTGTGCGCGGTGTTGCACACTCGCAGGAGCGCGTGTACATAGAGACGACCGCGAAGCAGGAGTTCCGCCGCGACCGCCACATGCCCCCGCACGAGGCCGAGGCCAAGGTGCGTGTGCAGGGTGTCGGCACGCTGCTCAGATAGGCAGCAGCCCTTGCCAAAGCTCCGTCATGCCAAGGGCCAGGCTCGCAGGAAGGAGCCTCGACCAGCTCGAGCGGGGATCCCCCCCAGTCGTCGACCCCACCTGGCCGTCTCGTTAACGCCGCCTGGACCCGCCTCGACGCGCCATTGGTCGCCCTGCCATGCGCTGCCTGCGTGCAGCTGTCCGAGGTAGAGCAGCGGGTGGACCTCGCGGTGCACTACCAGAACCCCTACCCGAGGCTGCACCACAGCCCCGCCCAGTTCAGGGGCCGCGTCTTCCGGGCCCCCGAGATGCCGCCCGCCGCAGCCTCAAGGGGCAGCAGGTGAGGGTGCTGCTCGAATACCCATTAGGATGGCATCACATCGCAGCCTGCTCAACAGTGGAGCTGACCCAGCTGCTGCAACTGCAGGTCTGTTGTCCCCTTTGGAGGAGCGCTTGCAATGGCGTCAGCTTTGTCCCCTTTGCACCAGCCTCTCGCTGTCACGTTTCCAGACACTAAAGAGTCATTCCTGTATGCGCGCGATCTGCAGCATCTGCCCACCCTCCCCACTCCTAACGACTCGCAGCAACCAGTGAGCAGGAGGCGGGCAGGCTGCTCCTTGCACAGCAGGCGGCGGTGCATCACCACTCCTGGCCATGCACAGCAAACGCGCCACCGCACCTGGGTCAGCACATGGCTCCGTGCGCATGTGAGCAATCTGTTGTGGCCCGCAGCACCCAAAACTTATTCCTTGCAGTCGTATCGCAGCCCGGGCGGCGTGGTTGCACCTCCGTGCACTCCCTCTGCCCATGCACATCCGCCCTGCGACCGAACGCGCTGCGATGCTGCATCTGGGCTCCAATACACTCCCACCCAAATGTGCCAAACACCTGCAGTCGAACGCACCCAACGCTGCGGGCGGGCGACACCACGCGTCGAGCAGGGATGGGCCACCAGGAGATCACTGCTGCTGTTTGGTGGATGCCATGCTGGGCCTGCAGCAGCTGGCTGACATGGCCCAGCAGCAGTAGCGGCGACGGCGGCGGCGGTAAGGTCAGGGGCCGAGCGCAGCGGCAGGTGCTGCTGCCCACGGTGATGCCTCAACGTCCATTGCGTTAACGGGTGCCTGTCGCTTGAGGGCTGCATGTGAAATGATGTGCTGTGCTTCTTGACATCAGCGTAGTTTCAAAGCATAGAGTTCCACCTTTCTTGGTGCTGTAAAACAATGAAAATGTGTACGTGCTTCACAAGTATCAACCAGCAAGTCAATATAGACAGAACCTGGTGTTCATTGAGCATGGGCGTCGGACCGGTGTTGACTGCCTGACGCTCACCAGGGTCCGAAGTGGCAGGCAGGCAGTGAGAGGCGTCTGGATCAATACATAATCTTGCCCGGTATGTAGCCTCCATTGGATGCCTCCCTACTCACCAACGGTAAGTGTATCTGAGGATAGCTGCCACGCTCAAGGTTCCGGGACTGTGTCCCGCGTGCTTATATGGCGATGCAATAATGATATGATTGAATTCATGTAATCCGGATGGTCAATCAATGACGTCGCTTCCACGGGCATCCGACCGTTCCTTCAGATCAGAGCAGACCCTTGCAGAGTTCGAGCTCGTGGCTACCCAGTCGACCGCTTCGTATAGCATCAGCTCTCCCTCGGCTCGGAGCGGCCTGGCCGCAGGCAGCATGGCGCCCGCGGCGGCGCACGCAGCGGCACGGGTGCCAAGGCGCACCGCCATCGCGTCCTTCATGGACTGCTCTTTCAACCTCTGCAAAGCAATTGTGGGAGCAGGTGATACGAAAGGATCCGCGGCAGCGGCCATGCTGCCCTATCTATTCCTGCCGCAACGACAAAACAGCTTGCAATTGGCACCAAATAAACCTGGGCTCACTTCGAGCCGTGCAGTCCCACGTGGGGTTTGAACCCACCTTTCTGACAGCCAGCAACACGCTATCATGGTGCAAGCGTCAACCAGCCGTCCCCTCTTCCAATCCTGCGGCACGCCCCAGGCATGATGGGCCTCCCGCGCGCGTTCAGAACCCTGGGGTGGGCCCTGGGCGGCGCCCTGATTGTCGTCGTCGGGGCCCTCACATATTGGTCTATGGCGGTGCTGGTTGAGGGCAACGACAGGCACAGGGGGGCCACAACCTATCGCGCGATGGCGCGCGCAGCCTGCGGGCGCGGCGTCGCGCTGGCCGTCCAGGTGGGCAGCCGGTGCTGGCGCCGGGCGCACGCTGTGCGGCGGCCTCGGATCAACCGAACCCCGCCGGCTTGGAGTTTTGACCAGCTGCGATCGGCGGGCGTGATGGTCACGTCAGGGGCGGGCGCCCGGACGCCGGTTCCTGGCCCATCGCAAAGCGATCTTGTTGCCTCGAGGCTGGCATCCCTGACCCCGTCGCCGCAGGTGTCGGTCCTGATGTTCTGCTTCGGCTTCTGCGTGGTTTACCTGGTGGGTGAGGGGGGAGGGCGCACACCGCGGGGCGGCGGCGGAAGGCGGGCGGGTGGGGCTGGCGTTGGCTGCGGCTCGCGCAGCGGGAGGCAGGGGATGGGGGCAGGCGGCAGCCGGCTTCGCACACCCGCAGCTTTGGCGTGACCCTTCACCTTCGCCTCTTCTTGCGAGCCCCCTCCCGCCAGACCATTCAACCTGATTGCCCCGCTGGCTCTCGCCTCTGTGCCGTGGCCCCCAGGTGGTCATAACCGACGTGCTGACGGGGACGCCGCCCCAGTGCAACGGGCTGATCTGCCAGCTCACGGGCGTCAGGGAGGGGCCCCTCGTCGCGCGGCGCTTCGTGATGCTCGCGCTGGCCGCCGGCGTCGCGGCGCCGCTGCTGCTCTTCAGGTGATGCCGCCGGCGTAAAATCCTTGGACGCACGACGAAATGCACGGTGGCGCCAACGCTCTTGCTTCTAGCTGCTTTTGCTTTGATGGCAGTCCCGCTGCTGTGATTGCCGCTGCTGTGATACCAAAGTCATTGCATTCAAATTGGGTCCAACCCGTCCTCCTCTTTACACACAGTTCCGCCCCTCACCCCTGCAGACACGCGCACCCCCTGATTCCCCGCCCCCCTCCCCCGCCCCAGGTCCATAG